TAGTCTATATGGCAACACAGTGACATCTACTCTAAACTTTCTTAAAACTAAATAAAAGAAAAAAAAACTAAGGATTTGAGGACATATGCTTATATGGAATTTTGTCCTTGTTTTGATGTGAGAAACTCGCCCTCAATGTCTGTAAACTATTTACACACACACACTATATATATATATATATATATATATATATATATAAGATATTTTTTGTTTAAAAATATGATTCCGTCGCTACATAAGAGTTCTCATGTTTCAAAAACCAGAGCCGAAACCATCCAAATAATTATTAAAATTAAGTTGAATTGAGGTGTTTAGTCCCGTTTCATCTTCAATCGAAATTTTAGGAATAAACTATCTCTTGGTTTACGTGTGTTTTTAAGTATGGTTCGTTATAACATTCGTTATTGTGGGAGCGGCTAGGCGAGTCATCTTAATTCAACTTAATTTTAATAATTATTTGGATGGTTTTTGAAACATGAGAACTCTTATGTAGCGAAGGAATCATATTTTTAAACAAAAAAAAATATTATAATATAAGCTCTACTTCTGTATGGAGGACTGTCTTATAAATCAAAACAAAAATAATAAGGAACTCCGGATTATGCACGCAACGTGTTTTTTCTATTTTCTGCATACCTGCGCACTTATATCTATCTATCTATCTATCTATATATATATATATATATATATATATATATATATATATATATATATATATATATGTGTGTGTGTGTGTGTGTGTGTGTGTGTGCAATTAATGAATTTTTGAAAAAGTTCGGCCTGTATTTTTTCGCTATGGGGCATTTTTTTCTGGTTTCTGTTAAAAATCGTGAAGTGGTTAGCCAGACCTTTTCTCTATTATTTGTATTTCAGAGTTATTTTCTCCATAGTTTCATGTTTAGAACTGCACTTTCTCTACCGTTTAGAATTCACAGTCTCTCTCTTCACGATTTGGGTGTCAAACTTGTCTTTTTACACGATTGAGAACATGGAGTTGTCTTTTCCCAGACCGTCTACCATCGATGGCCAGATCGTCCATTCTTTTATACTATTATTAACCCAATATAAGGCTCAAGAATCAGTCAATATAGAGTGTTACATAACGAGGTTATTGTAAAGATGTAAAAGGAGGAAGTAAAATTGCATATTATGAGGCTATGTAGGATAGATAAATTTGACCTAGACATGAAGAAGTTAAGATCGTAGTGATCGAGTAAGCACACTTTCGGGAGTTTGTTCAACGTCGTAAAAATTCGGAGGAAGTGTCTGCGTAGAACTTCCTCCTTGCCAATGGAATACAAAAGGAATGGGGGGTTAGTTAATGGCGCCTGGCATGGGAGTGAAAGCGGCGTAAGTCTGATCCGGTGGAAGTAACTAATATACCTCGTCTGCACATATGACATGCGAATAGCGATAAAGAGGCTGGGAACGTTTCGCCTGTGGGCTTCTACGGCATCTCGAGGCGGTGTAATGGTTAGCAAGCTGGTCTGGTTAGAACAATTACAACTGAGTAGTGAGTTCGATCCTCACTGGGTGCTCCTCTCCTTTCGGTCTTGTTTCACATCTAAGCTACGCTTGGAAAAATCATTGGCCTTGTGCCACATCTGACCGCGTGGGCCGGTTGGCAAATATCTTTCTATGGTGGAAGATAATTCATCACCCATAAGGTCGCGTAAGCGCTTTTAATGACTTTAAAATGTGTACTGTACACTTCCAATCCAGATATAGAAGTAATACTCTATTTTGTTTCATCTGATCCGCCTCTTGTTAAGTTGTAGCTTGACAGAATGAATCCATGCGTTTTGGAATTATATTTGTGAACTCTCATGATAATGACGATATTGCAGTATGAGTAAAAGACAAGAGCTTGTTGACCATTCTAAACTTTGATCCCCTCCTTCTTTGTAGCAAAGCTAGAGGTAATATTAACCGTTTCCTTCAGCAAGTCGTTGTCTGCTTTCTTCCTCATGATGGTGACTGAATGTACGGCTTACCTTCTGTCCAAGCGTCGACCTGATGCGGGGGGGGGGGTCAACGGCCAGTCCTCCGCCCTCACCAAATAGTGGAGATATGCTTTCAATAAAATTTAAAACAGGAGAAAGAAACGTCGTGAACAATTCCAGGTTCAGACAATATATCAAGCAAAAAGATACGGTTACAACATCATTAGAATACTGACGAGACAACTTCGCATCTAGTCAAAGACATTCAATTTTCCATTATTTTTCTTTCGAACAGGGATTTCTTACTAAACTATCAAATAAGGGAGAATCATTGGGACAAAATGTCTTAATATGGTAGAGCACATAGACGAGTGGAGGGAGAGAAAAAAATATAAATAAAAAAAAAAAAATAGAAAAACGTAAATGGGTTTCTGCTAGAGTGAAACTATACTCACACGAGGCAGCATGTGGTTGTCTGCTTTCTTCCTCATGATAGCAACTGAATGTACGGCTTACCTTATGTCCAAGCGTCCAGCTATTCAAGTGTAATGTCAATCGACATCTCCAGTTGCCTTGATCTATCCACTACCCTCATCCTTTCTTCTATCACTCCTATCTGATCTTGCTCTAAATTTTCTGTAACCCTTTGCGTCCTAGTGGCTTCCCGCCTTGCTTGTGGTGAAATCTTAAAAAATAAAAATAAAAATAAAAAAATAAAAAATAAACATTCAGTTTTCACAGACCGAGCAGCCAGTCCTAATTTCGAAATTTATAAATCCTTTCAACTCAAAAAAATCTTTTAGAAAGAATATATTTCTCAAGCATGTTATTGATTTTTTCACTAATGGTAAAGGCTTTATTCCTAACCATTTGTTTGAAATCATTATGACATTGTTTTCCCTTTGTGTTACATCTGCTATCCGTTTTAGTTGTTGCAGTCCTCAAGTGATGTGGTTTCTGTTAATTGGTACAGTTCTTTGTTTGCGATTCTGTAGCGCCAGAACAAGAGATTTGAAGAAATATGTTCTATGCTAAGTCTTATGTGCTTCTTCGATCCTGAGCGAATCGACTGTATGAATTTCAGCGTGCTTCATGATTGGCAACGAGGTCACACCTAGCAAGCTACAACAGTACGTTCTATTTCAATAGTTACTTTTCTCGCATTACTAGCCTGTGGAATTCTCGTCCGGTTGCGTGCTTCCCTCTAACCTACAAATGGTAAAAAAATGAAATACAATGCCAATCGTCATCTTCTGCGTTTCTGAATCCTGATCATTTATTGTACTTTTCCCCAGTAAAGTGTTCTCATTCTCTTTCACTCTCAGTCAACTTTTGCATCTTAGTGGCATTATCGCCTTAATCTGAGTAAAATGATTAAAAAAAAGAAGTAATTTTAAGCTATCAATCTGAAAAAGCATTTGTATACAGCTGAGAGTTAAAACTTTTCCGAACGAATTTGACTTCATGCATGCCATCCATATAAAATTCTCGATCCGACAAGGCTATTTAGAAATGCCACATAAGTCGATAGGATAGTTTACATCTATCTTTCCACGGCGACTAATATGGAATGAACTGGGCTCTTATCTCTATCTATAAAAGGCAGGATGTGTGTGTGTGTGTGTGTGTGTGTGTGTGTGTGTGTGTGTGTAACGAATGCACGGCCGCAATTTTTGACGGATTTGCACCAAAATTTACATGCACATGTTCCAAGTTAGCGAAAAGGCCAAGACCGACGTTGCATTTCCCAACTCCCATCGATAGTGGAAATATTCGATTTTTTCATGCTTCTACGGCAGTTTTCATGTAGTTTGTGGCCATTTTGTACTGGCCAGAGTGAGAGACTATAACTGGCTGCCACGAATAGGCAGGAAGATTCTATTGGCCAGCGTGAAAGCCAACAGCTGACTAGCACGAATGTTAACTAGCATGCTAGCATACAAAAGAAAATCGATAGCTGCATTCGGCACAAGTGGGAAAAATTTAAATCTGCATGGCACTTTACTCCAATTGGTTTATTCGCTTGCTTAAACTCAACGTTGATTCTGATTCCGCAGAACTGGGTTGGGTGTGAAAAAGTATTTGTTGTTAACATTCTTTTTTCATCCGGTTTTTCCAGTTACGAGTCCTTTTTTAAACCTGAACGTTTTGTGTTCATTTTGTTTAGTTCTTTTTTCGTAACAGATTTAATGTTTAGTATAGAGCTTAGAAAAAATTCGCAGTGTGAGATAGGCAAGAAGTAAGGCATGTAGCAACATCAACACGGCAAAGGGCACTCCTTTAAAGGCAAGGAAGGGCAAAAATATTTTAAGTCAAGTGATAGCGATTCTGTATGAGTCGTACGATTTTTGAATCAAGCACGGACAACGCCGGGCCATGCTGATAGTCATAGCTATTTCCTCAATTTTTCGATACGCACTGCGTGCTATGTGACTGTGGCCTTTTGTCAGACTAATCTTACATAAGTAAATAATTGCATCTATTTTAACAAAACAAATATCTTCCAAGTGGCCCTTGGGTAATTTCGGCTTTTAGTTTTTATGTTGTCTAATCTCTTCCTTAACAGCCGTCGAAATATCACTTTCGATTATTTTATTAATGTGTGTGACTGTAGTTGTGGGTGAGTAAATAATTCTTTACTTTTAGAAGATATATTGACAAATCTGTGCAGATCTTGGCACCTGCTCATTTTTCGTGGAAGATTTCAACCATTTATCAGAGTGGAAATGTTGATAAACGCCAATTTGAAACACTGAAAATATCCCAGCATTCATTTCAGCTTATGGTTGGGATGCTGTTATCATTGTTCTTTCGAGTGGAGGTGGGCGTAGACCGTTCAAGAAAATATTCTATAGGCTGGCTTTTAAGTAGTTCCGATAGCTGATCAGTGATGTCTTTCTACGGGCCAACATCTTAACTACAAAGCAAATATAACCTCAATGTCTATTCCTATGCATATGTATTAATCTGATTTTCGTTTCTATCTCTATCTGCTCCCGTCGATTGTAATCTCTCTCCGTCTCTCTCTCTTGATTTCATTCTATATGTCAGGCTTCTATGTTGATTTTTTTTCATACCATTTCTTCACAGTTTTTCTTTCTTTTTAAGTATATCTGTTTGCATCTATCTATCTATCTATCTATCTATGAAGCTAAATATCTATCTATCTCAGTCTATTTCTTATCTATCTATCTATCTATCAAGCTAAATATCTATCTATCTCAGTTTGTTTCTTATCTATCTATCTATCTATCTATGAAGCTAAATATCTATCTCAGTCTGTTTCTTATCTATCTATCTATCTATCTATGAAGCTAAATATCTATCTCAGTCTGTTTCTTATCTATCTATCTATCTATGAAGCTAAATATCTATCTCAGTCTGTTTCTTATCTATCTATCTATCTATCTATGAAGCTAAATATCTATCTCAGTCTGTTTCTTATCTATCTATCTATCTATCTATGAAGCTAAATATCTATCTCAGTCTGTTTCTTATCTATCTATCTATCTATCTATGAAGCTAAATATCTATCTCAGTCTGTTTCTTATCTATCTATCTATCTATGAAGCTAAATATCTATCTCAGTCTGTTTCTTATCTATCTATCTATCTATGAAGCTAAATATCTATCTCAGTCTGTTTCTTATCTATCTATCTATCTATCTATGAAGTATCTAAATATCTATCTCAGTCTGTTTATCTGTATCTATCTATCTATCTATCTATTTATTTTAATCTCTCTCTAAATATCTATCTCAGTCTGTTTCTTATCTATCATCTATCTATCTATGAAGCTCAATAAATATCTATCTCAGTCTGTTTATTATCTATCTATTATATCTATCTATGAAGCTAAATATCTATCTCAGTTTGTTTCTTATCTATCTATCTATCTATCTATGAAGCTAAATATCTATCTCAGTCTGTTTTTTATCTATCTATCTATCTATCTATCTATGTCTGTTTCTTATCTAAATATCTATCTCAGTCTGTTTCTTATCTATCTATCTATCTATCTATGAAGCTAAATATCTATCTCAGTCTGTTTCTTATCTATCTATCTATCTATCTATGAAGCTAAATATCTATCTCAGTCTGTTTCTTATCTATCTATCTATCTATCTGCGTCTGTTCTTATCTATGTATCTATCTACGTATCTATATATGTTTGTATCTATCTGTCTATCTTTCTGTGTGTGTGCGTGTGTGTGTGTTTATGTAGCTAAATATCTAGCTAGCTATTTATTTTAATCTCTCTCTATATATATCTAACTCAGTCTGTTATCCATCCATTCATCTATCTATCTATCTATGAAGCTCAATATCTAACTAGCTATTTATGTTAATCTCTCTCTATATATCTACCTCAGTCTGTTTATCTATCTATCTATGAAGCTAAATATCTAGATAGCTATTTATGTTAATCTCTCTCTCTACATATAACTCAGTATGTTATCCATCCATTCATCTATCTATCTATCTATGAAGCTAAATATCGAACTAGCTATTTATGTTAATCTATCTATCTATCTATCTATCTATCTTAGTCTGTTCCTATCAATCTATCTATCTACCGCATTTCTCCTCTCTACCTACCTACCTACCTCCACACTTACCTATCTATCTATCTATCTATCTATCTATCTATCTGCGTCTGTTCTTATCTATGTATCTTTCTACGTACCTATGTATATTTGTATCTATCTGTCTATCTATCTGTGTGTGTGCGTGTATGCGTGTGTGTGTTTATGTTGCTATCTCTCTACCCTCATGAAAAGTCTTTTTACATTCCACTCGCGCTGAAAACATATTTCGCTCGCGGATATTAAACAGCTTACAGCCTGTCAGTACTTAGATGGATTACAGCGGGTACTGTAAGGAATACCTCAGTAAACCCCCGATGTTTTTAAACATGTTTCAAAAATATGGTTAGAACTGTGTAGCGAAAAAAAATATTTTAAATCAATTAATTTATAATACATACATACATACATATATATATATATATATATATATATATATATATATATATATATATATATCATGGTGGTTTTTTAAAGGCCCGAATACAGAGATCTGGTGCACTAGGTGCCAAAAAGACCCCAAATGACTCTCCATAGGTTTTGAATTCAAAGCTGTCCTTCTCCTAGACTAGTTGCCATCTAAGGCTATAGAACCCAGTCTGTCCTGCTACTTATCCATAGCTGTCCTGCTATTTCTCAATATACATACATATATATATATATATATATATATAATAATATATATATGGATAAATAGCAGGACAGACTGGCTTCTAGAGTCTTGGATTCTTTTCATTTGACTATTTGTTCGTATATGTATATACAAATATGAAAAAATAGTCAAATGAAAAGAATATATATATATATATATGTCTCTCTATCTTCGTAGCTAACTAGCTCGCTAGCTATGTTAATCTCTCTCTCTCTTTATCCATCTATATACCTGTCTTCGTCTCTTCATGTCCTAACTCAATGCAACTTATCATAGAACTCATAATTACTAATTTTAATTTAGAGAATAAAAAAAAAAACCTGCTTCTAAAATCTAGTGTAATGGAACGATAGGCAATTAACATAATCAATAATAATTTCCACTCCGAATAAAATTAACTGTTTTTCCTTTTCGTTGAACAATTTTCTAGTTGATCAAAATAATTAAACAAAATTGAAAAGGCAATATAAAAACCCGGAATTTTAATTAAATTGTTCATTGACACTTTCAAATCCGTAATTAAGAGTCAGTATTTCTTGTTTGCTTATTTAGTTTCTGTTTTACTTTTTGTAAATTACATTTTTTACATACTTATTATAAAGAACAAACAGGAAAAATATAAAATATATATTCAATTTTGCAATTTCAGAGCAGACATGTTGAATTGAGAAAAATCAGTGAAGGTGTGTTTAAAAAAAGCATTAATTCGACCTTTGGTAATAATTTTCTGTAGCTGAACGGTCATAGCACTTCAGACGAAGTGATGTTTACGTATAAAATGTAAGTTCGATTCCTATCGAAGGACGCATATTTTCTACGAAATTTCTTTTCACATTTAGGTCGGTAAATGTAATTAATACTCTCTAATTATATAAAAAAAGAAGAAAAAAAGGAACATTTAGTCAAACAAGTATATCCATAAAAAACGTATAAACAAAGAATATATTAAAATATTTGTCGGGTTTAATTCATTTCATATAAAATATATATTATGTATATCGGAAGCAATCCTTCATTTATACATGTTTGATTAAAGACAACATATAAGGTACTGCGATTAAGATTTTTATTTAAATTTTCTTGTATTCGAACAAGTATTTTCTTTTTTGGACACAGAGTGTAGAAACTGTCCAAATTCCATTATCAAGGATGATTTTATTTTTGCTTTTTAATTGGGTGTATGGGTTTTGTGTATGTTTCTAGACTTAGCAGACGCCCTACGAAACATACTAGTAGAAAATACAAGCATAATAATTCCATCCACACGTAAAAACAATTAAAAATAAGGGAAGACTTAATAATAAAAAAGAAAAAGTCAAAATTAATTGCAAAGCTGGCCATAATGTACTAAATGTATTCGGGGAAATAAAACATCCCTATAACTTCAGAAACATACACACAAGCCATAGAACAAATTAGAAAGCAATAAAATCATCCTTGATAATGGCTAAAAGTATAGCCGAAAGCGCATGAAGTTTCACAACATTTGGACAGTTTTTACATACAATGTTTCCAGAAAACAAAAGACTTGTTCGAAGACAAGAAAAATCAAATAAAAAGTATCTTGTCTGTCATCTTCAATGAAAGATCCACACACACACATATATATATATATATATATATATATATATATATATATATATATATAGAGAGAGAGAGAGAGAGTTAATATAAGAAAAAATGTTTGTCACTTAGCTAATTGATGTTACTTTCAGGATCCCGGCTTCAGAGTTTCGCAGACGGAGTCGTCCGTCAATTCGACAGTAGTTAACAGCAACTGACTGCTTATACTTCTCGATTTATTTCTTTGCGGGTGTACGTTTGCACGCGAGCGCCCTTGCACCAGTCTGAGCGGATGTGCGTACATCGAGGGTGTCGTGATTATTTGTGCTTTTCCTCGTTTCTTTGCCTCCCATTTAACACTCGTTCCTCTATATTTATATATATATATATATATATATATATATATATATATATATATATATATATATATATATATAAGTAGGCACTGAGGTCAACATCGTGTGGCGATAGTCTTTTTCATTCTTGGAGATGATCTTTAGGTCAGGAAAATTGCTCCAAGTCATTTCATCTTTGAAGATATTGCCAAGCATTCACTGCTATGTAGGTAGACTGATAGCAGGTAGCTCTTCAGTACTCTCTTCATTGTTTCTAACGTAATTTTTCTGTTTCTTAATATTTTGCTCAGCTTTTGGAAGGCATCTTTCACTATCCCATTGCGTCTTCGGATTACAGAATCGCACTTCCTAACCTCTGTTAAAATGCTTCCCGGGTATTCAATTTGTTTTACTTGTTTGATTCTGTTTGTTGTCATCTATTTTTGTAATCTGTATTCATTTAAATTTTACTCGCTTATTTATTCATTATTTTCTTAATCATCATATATTCATAAATCCTTACTATTTATCATTTAAAGGCTTTCACAGGTGAAACTTGAAATACATGTGTTTTCAATTATTATATATCATATTCTCTTTTGAAGCCGTCCTGGTTATGACGATAAACTATTGGAAGGTTTTACAAGTCATGGATCTTTACAATCATGGCTTCGTAAATATTTTGGAAAAAAATAACACTGACACTTAGCGTTACCAATGTAAGAAAAATACCTGTCATATAATCACTGAAACTGTAAAAAAACTTAAGCATGGCCGTCATTTCTGTAACTGAAGACCAAAGTTATGCCGTCATTGGTTGATCCAGTCAACTGGCAGCCACTGATGCTGGACGGGGTCAATCTGGAAGACGTGCAGTCTTTCGTCTATCTCGGTTCAACCATTATACCATCCGGGCAGGCTGCTGCTGAGGTTGAACGCCGTATAGGAGCTGCAAGGTTCGCATTCGTGCGACTTAAGCAGTCACTATGCGGGTGACGGGAGATTTCAACGGCTACGAAAGGTCGCATCTATCAGGCTATTGTTCGGACTCGCCTTCTCTATGGCTGCGAAACGTGGCTACTTAGAGCGGTTGACCTACGAAGGCTTGAAGTGTTCGACAACGATTGCCTTCGCTACATTCTACGATGCCGCCGAATCGATCGTGTTCCCACACCCACTCTACGTCGTCGCCTGAATCTCCGTCCTCTTCCACCCGTTCTGCTCCAGCGTCGTCTCCGATGGTTCGGGCACGCAGCTCGACGCCCGGAGGGAGAGCTCATCCTTGATGTACTTCTCCCTCCTTCTCTTCCTGGCTGGCGAAAACGTGTCAAGGATGACCTAGCAGTACTATCGGGTCCACATGTAGTTGGTCTTCGACGATGGAATCGCGATTGGCTAGCCATTTCGTGTGACCTGGCTCAGGATCGGCGAGCGTGGGCAGCGATGGTCCGTGATGCAGTACTTGCTCGGGAGGAAGCCGGTTCTACACGACCAGGGTGAAAACCGATACAGGTCAGGGTTTCTGTAACTGTAGATGTTAACTGTGTATTGGGGTCGTGTAATGGTTAGATATAGAAACGAGAAATAAGACAGCCATGGTTCAGGGTATACGAGGTGCTGCATCCGTGGTCCGCCACCCATTCACTCAAGTTCGCCAAGTAAGTTAGTCGTTTTCCCATCTCCCTCCTGCCTTCAAACAGTCCTGTGAGTATCAAATTTCCAAGTCTTCTTTCCTTGTTATGTGTCCTAGAAATTTCAACTGTCTCTTCATGGCGTTTAGCATAAATGTCCTTTTAGCTTCATTGTCTCTAGAACTTCGTTATTGTTCATATATTTAGTCCATTGTATCCTCGGCATCCTTCTGTAGATCAAATGTCTGTTCCTACAAATCTCTTCTTCATCTGTGCGGAAATTATCCAGCATCAATTGCCATATAGGATGATTGATATATATATAACAATTCAGTACTATTCTCTGGTGCTAACGCAGTTTTTCCGTTTCTTAATATTTTGCTTAGCTTTTGGAAGGCGTCTTTCGCTATCCCAATTCCGATTTCGTATTGTACTTTCCGTCCTCTATTAAAAGAGTTCCCAAATATTTGAATATTTGTACTTGCTTGATTCTGTTTGTTACCAACATTTTATTTGTAATCCGTATTCGTTTAAATTTTACTCGTTTATTTGTTTATTGTTTTCTTAACATTCGTCATATTTTGATAAATCCTTGATATTTATTAATGAAGGCTTTCACACGTCAAACTAGAAATGTATGTTTTCAATTATTATTGCTATAATTTTCTCTTTTCGAAGGTCGATCTTTAAGATAGTGTAGATCATTGTCTATTCCGCCGTTGGGGTAGTCGCCTTCAGACTGGTCATTTTCTCTTCAACCTTAACGTCATATAGCATCTATCTACATTTATAATCACAAACATATATTTCTAACGAATTACTAATCGTCGCGTAGATTGTGGTCTTATGTTAACGAACGTGAAGTCTGTTCAGTAACTAGATGGATGACCGCTTGGGAGTAGAAGGTGCTTTAAGCATGGTGGATGTGTGGATAGTGTAAATCGGAATTGTAAAGCGGAGAGCCGAGTTCCCATTCCAGTCGGGTTCGTTATATACACTTACACGCAAATATCCTTGCGAAATATGAACCCACCTTCTCCACCTATGAGTTAATTACTAATACTTGTATCAGTAAAGCATTATTACCACAAAAATAATTCTTATAAAGTATTTCCTAGATTTCAGTAACCAGCAAAGGGGGATAACCTGTAGAAAACGAATCAAACAATTAAATACTGTTTAGCTAAACGGGCATATCTCTTAGATTTATTTATATTCTCTGGAATGTAAATACATAGAACCTGCTGTGGTCCCAACATGAGAAATCAGTTTACATATTGATTGTAATATACAATTGATCCCTCAATTTATATCCATTTTATAATTTCTTTTTTGCTTGTCAAATTCTGATTAGGTATGAATCCACCTCTTCTCCCCCAAGTATGGGTTAATTAGAAACCCTTTTACAGTAAAGCATTATTATCGCAAAGAAAGTTATTACAAGCGAAAAATCTATTCTGGCTTTAAATAACCTGCAAAGTTTTTTATAAGCCCTAGAAAAAGAATTAAACAATCAATAAAGATCTATTTCCAATCCGACCAGGTAAACAGTGGACCGGCTTTTATAGTTGTTAGCTGTGGCTCATTTCATTTTACTTGGGAATTCTCCCGCGCCACATTATTGCAAACAATCCATTCTTTGATGACATGAGAGTGTTCATTCATATAAATGGTTGCTTATGTTACGTTTGAACATAGAATCTCAGATTTCAAATCCCATATGGAATATAAGGAGTATCTCTGTAGAATCTTGCATTTCGTTCTGTTCATTGACAATGAGTGCTGGTTTTAAAGAAGGGTCTAGGACTTCCAGTAAACCATTTACGATTATTACTCCCGGCAATATCTTACCATCTTGGTAAACTGCTTATCGTATATACTTATATATCATGCAACCTTTGAAGACCTAATTTTGAAGATAATTTGACTACAGTAAAATGATATATAGTTTGGTAAACGGTGTAGCCAGTGCCAGCAGGACATATGCTAATTTTATATCTCGTGTATCATGTGACCCTCTTAAAATTAGCTTCAAATTTAGGTGTTCAAGAGTCGTATGATACGCGAGTATATACGGTGTATCTTTATTATCATTTGTAGAGGATGATATCCAATAAGGATTCAAACGAACATCAAATGACGAAAATATATTTCCTTTTCGTCCATTATCAGTTTTAACATTCAGCACCGTAGAGAAAATTGTTTTGGAATGTCACGTATCAGAACATATTTTAGAAATTTGACGTCATGCATGAAAGGAAATCATATATTCAAAAAGCGCCAGTTGCAATTTGTAGGAAGCTTTCGTTAAAATCCAAGAATTATTGTACATCTATTCGTCTCAGTTGAAACATTTGCAGTTGTATTTTACACCGGTTAGGTTCTATTGTCTTTGGTAATATTCTGAGAAATTCGAACCTGTATGGATTGGTTCTCATCTGCTCTGCATCCAGGGACTTATTTCATTTTAATCGGAATCACCCCAAGCAAAGCAGTAAAGCCACTAAAACACTAGATGTTACATGTTATAGGAGAATTAGGAACAGAAGCATTAATGATCAAGAAAAGAGAAATCAGGAGGACAATAGACAGAGACTAACATTTTATCTAAATTTTACCTGGAAAGCATGGAACAGAAAGGGAGTTCCACAAATGTGAGAAAAGGAACTCTTAGCATAGAATTTACGGCTGCATCTAGCTAGCTCAACTGTAAATGGATTAGATTTCGATGCTACTCTAGTATTGCACTTAAATATATAGAGTCTAGGTACCATAGCGAAGAGCTCATCCAAACAATTACCATAAAAGAAATTATAAAAAAAAAATGTCACAGAGAGACAACCTTACGGCGGTGAATAAGTGAGAGATCAGGACGAATAATATTGCTGATTCTTTTTTGAATCTTATCACGGAGCTCAAGCTAAACAGCAGGAGCACCGGACCATATGTTGCAGCAATAATATAAGCATGGACGAATAGTTGACTTATATATATATATATATATATATATATATATAAGAAATGGACAAAGTCCGACAATTTATTTATTAAAGGACGAATATTTTCTATGAAAATTTCTCGGACATTCAGGCCGGTAAATGTTATTTAATACTGTTTATTATAAACAGAGCATTTACTTAAATACTTGTATCTATAAAAAAAAGAACGCTAAACATAAAAATGTCTTTAATATATATATATATATATATATATATATATATATATATATATATATATATATATAAGATAGATTCGGAGAGAAATATCTTAGAAGCTGTTCCAGCAATTGATTCATGATAAACTTTCCGCTTCATGCCAGCTGAGAACGTTAGCCCGAGAAGGCACAGCGAGTCACTTTCTTTAAGGCTAGCATCAACCATGCTCTGCATTTCATTTTACTTTATTTTTTTTACAGATCAAAGTTGACTGGGAAGAACGAAGCCGGAAGAGAGTTTCATAGTGATAAGAGCCATAAAAGAAACCGTTATTGTAGAACTTCCGGTTACATCTCGTCATTTCAACCATAAAATGATGAGCCATTGCCCCAAATCTAGTACTACGTTTAAATTCATAGATTCTACGTAACATACAGGAAAAATTATCGTGAAAGTATTTATAGAAACGCCAAAAAGAAGCTACATTAAGGCTGTGAAAAAGTTACTGAAGACAATATGACATATTAGGACAAGTAACATGGCCGATTCTTCTTTGGATTTCATCAAGAATCGCTAAATATATAGCAACATCACTAGACCAGACGTGGCACCAATCTTCAAAGCATGCGCGAAAGGTGGACTTATAAATATGCAAAAAAGATTCTGGTAATAAAAAACTGTCTAGCGAGTCAGAGTGAACTAACTTTTCTAGCTGAAGACTTAGCAATTGAGTCAATATACTCTTTCCACTTCATATCAGTGGAAAACATTAGTCCAAGAAGGCACAATGAGTCACTCTACTGGAGGTTAGCATCAGCCATAATGGTGGAAAGTAAAAAGGGTTCTCTCATATGATCAAAAGACAGCAGTTACATCGTTGAGGCATTAAAATTAAGAAGTCAATCCTTGTCTCATTTGATAACAGATTTTTGAGATATAGCTGCCAATTTGAGCTTATCAAACGGATCAGACTGATTATTTAAAAAGAGACAGGTGTGTCATCAGAATAAATACTGAGCTGAGAACTGTTGGCATCAGGAAGGTCATTTGTGAAAATTAGGAGCAACATAGCAAATGCACCAGACCATATGTGACAGCAATATTCAAAGCAAGGAGTAGATAGGCTTGACTATCATTCAGTTCACACTCCTTCCTGGTTTTTTGAAGAGTAGAAGTTTATTCCTTGTCCCCAGTTTAGGATTAGGTTTCTGGTCCCTTCTAAAGTCTTCTCATTCACTTTCACTCTGTTTAGTCCCCTTGAATCTTAGTGGCATTATTGCCTTCCTTGGGGTAAACTGATTAAAAAAATATATATATATATATATATATATATATATATATATATATATATATATCAAAAGCACCAGACCAGATGTGACAACAATATTCAATGCATGGAAGAATGGTAAACTTATAAATAACATAAGGAAGAGGTAGATGAAATTTCTGGGACACGTAATGAGAAAGGAGGGCCTGGAGAATATGTTACTCACAGGTCGAATAGAGACAAAAAAGAGACAAGGGAAAGCAATGTATGACATACCTGGCAGGCTTAAGCAAGTGGATGGCAGAACGTGGTCTGGGGGAGTTGGTTTCAGGTCCTTTCTAAAGTCTTCTCATTCGCTTTCACTCCCTTTAGTCCTCTTGCATGTTAGTGGCATTATTGCCTTCCTTGGGCTGAATTGATTATATATATATATATATATATATATATATATATATATATATATATAGCGCAAAAGTACCAGACCTGATTTGACAACAGTATTGAAAGCATGGACAAATGGCAGACTTATAAATATGTAAGATAGATTCAATGACAAACTTTCTCATCAGCAGACCTAGTTGTTAATTCGATATAATCTTTCCACTTTATGTCAGCGGGATTTGGGCAAATTTCACGAAAAAAATTACGGTGCGGTTACATGAAAATTGAGCGTGAGTGATGGCGCAAAACCTTTCGTCACTTTTGAAACAACCTGTACTATTTCACTGGGTACAATGTATTTGTTGCATTCATTTGTAAGAGTGCAATCATCTGAGTGGGGTAATTATAAGATTTGTGCAGACAACCGAATGAATAAGCCTCTCAATTAACTTTCGATTTCAAATCATGGCTTTCGCCCTGAAAAATCCGAGACGAATTGGTTGATTCGAATAGAACGAAAATGGTTCTTTTGCAAAAGAAGATTCATATCTGACTGAGTAATTTTGAGGGTAACGAAATTCTAGATAGGCCCGGCAATCAGAAACCGTATTTTGTTAGTTATCCATCATTCCACGAAAGATACGATGATAATCTATCCATCTATTTTAAACAAGTTGCGGTCTCGTAACTTTACCGCTGATAAGGTGCATATTTGACATGTTTTTAAACTACGTGGCTTCTCCCTTTTTATGACATCTCCTTTCGAAATATGGGTGATCATGGTTATCTAGAACATCCTATTTATTGTTGCATTAAATGAATTCTGACCGTTTGCCATAATTTTTGTTTCTTGCTCTGCAATCCATTTAAATAAAGTCATCAAATACATTACTCGCTGTTCCCACCTACTTCTCGTGCCTTGTGAGTGTTGAATTATCTAAACCCTCTTTCCTTATTAGAAATATCACCCGTCCCTTTCTGTTTTTTTGGACCATATAATTTGTAGCACCTGTTTTCCTTAAAACAACTCTGTTTATGCGGCACCCAGTAAGGACAGATGTCATTACTCAGCAGAGACGAATATGTAATATAATTGGCCCTGGTCTGGCATCTCGTCTACAGTCACTCTCTCACAGACGCGCCGTCGCCTCTCTCTGTCTTTTCTACAAATACTTTCATGGTAATTGCTCTGATGAGCTGCTTTCAATGGTTCCCAGACTCCATGAATTCAAGCGCCCTACGAGGCTGGCATCCCGCTCCCACCCTTACAATGTAGAAACTTTTAAATGTAGCCGTCTCTTCTACTCCAGTAGCTTCATACATTGCACCTCTCGCCTGTGGAACACCCTTCCCAATTACTGTTTCCCTGAGAGCTATAATCTCCAACTATTCAAATGTAATGTCAATCGACATCTCGAGTTACCTTGATATATCCACTATCCTTCTCCTCATCCTTTCTTCTATCACTCCTATCTGCTCCTGCTCCTAATCTTCTGCAATCCCCTGGCATCCTAGTGGCTTCACGCCTTGCTCGGGGCGTAATGCTTTAAAAAAAAAAAAGTAATGACCAACCAGACTAGCCTTGGTAACTACTACCTTATTTTTTTAGGTTATACTGATTTTACAGCATGTAAACCTTTGTTGGGTTATGTAATGTCGAAAAGTTTATGGGGCACACAGTGAAGATCGGACTCATCAGTTGTAATGGCCAATCAGACAACACTAGATAAGCATTAAACCATTTAGCTCGGTTACGTTGATTTTACGCCATCTTGATGATTGTTGGATTACACTGGTCGACATTTTTTCGTACCCAAATGTTGTTGGGCAATGAGCACATGTTTCTGGGCTATTTTTTGACGCTGAATGTGAAAACGAAGTCCATTTTTCCCCATCACATCATGTTTTCTCAGTCCATATATATATATTTTGCTTAAAATAGGCTAAAAATATCTAAGTCACAGGAATATGCCACGACTTAAATATGCGAGTGACATCGTCGAAATATTTATCATTCAAGAAAAAAGTATTCAAATAACTTTTCAAATGAATTCTAAGCTATTTTAGTTCAGATAAGCTGAACTGAAAATGCTTGGTTTTATGAGAGATATCCCACTGGAAAATGTTCTTGTGCCTTCAATGTCCTTAGCGTGTCAAAACTTTGTGATTTGCTTTTCTTCTCTACTTTTCATAGAAGACGTTTTTTAGAAGTCATTCAAGAAGAGCGAATTTAGTTTTTATTAGTAGTTTTTATTCTAACCCTAAAAATGTCATAAGATTTTATGATATCACTTGAAAATATGGAGGTCTTATATTGTCATGCACTCCCTGTATATCATGCATACGAACATCAATAAACGAGGGTTGTTAGGACGTTAGGTGAGTGTATTTGAGACTAGCAAGATTAGAATTTTCTTTATCAGTGCTTGAAATAGACGCTAAATATCATACAGGCAAAGTCAATGAGGCAATTTTCATACTCATCCCCCAAACGACCACCATCTTGTCTAACCAACAATTTTCAAAATCACCTTAGAGTTTCCAAAAAGAGGATGCCTATACCTTTAGACGGACAAAAATGAATCTATTTTTCATTGATTGGTATCTTCTTTGTTTTGATTAAAAACTGAAGACACACGTTTGCCTAAATTTAATTTTGTGCGAGATTTTTCTGAAAATTTTTTCTGAACTAAAAATGCTGAGAATGCATTCCTTAAGTTATTGGGATACCTTTTCTTTTATGATAAGTTATTTTAACCTGAAAACATTTAAGGTTGGTTCTACTTGGCGCTGGCATATCACTGTCAAGTGAGCATTTTGGCCTGCTTTAAGAAAAATAGAAATTATCTGTACTGAGAAAACCTCATGTAATGGAAAAAAATGGACTTGATTTTCAGATTCAGCGTGAAAAATAGTCCAGAAACATGTGCCCATTGCCCAACAACATTTGGATTGAAAAAAAAAAATTCGACCCAAATTTAATTTACCGTAGAATGTTCTATGGGATACCCAGTGAGGATCGAAGTCACTACCAGAGAATAATGGTTAATTAGATTAGATTCACTAAACTTTAGCCTGTGCCAAGTGTTGGTTGATTTATGCTACACCATGTCGACCGATTGTTTTCTTATTTAATTTAGATTTTATGTGTGGAACGGTCAATGAAAATCGTCTTCACTATTCAGTAGTAACGCTTAGCCAGACCAAGCTCATTAACCATTGCTGCACGCAAGGCAACTTCATTTGTGTGTGCTGGAAAAAAAATGAAAAAAATCAAATAATAAAGAACGATACTCATTTTTTTCCAAGACGGCAATTTATAAACAATTTTATCTCCAACAGTCCTATTATATAAATTGTGTAAAAATAATCGATAAAATAATACTTAGGATTTATTACAAATTATATATAAAAATAGATAAGGATAGCTAGGAATAAGCATAATTTATATGGTATTCTAATGTATATTTTAAATGCTAAAAAACAACCGGTTTCGTCCCAGCCTTATCAAGTTTATTTCTGGGATATAAAAAAATAAACGTGTAAATTTATTTGATATTAATGATAACAAATGGAGGGGAAAAATATGAATTTCAAGAAAACTAGAGTCGAATAACATCCAGACCCAGAAAGTATTCCCTCTATTTACAGAGTGAAGACCCACGGGATCTGATATACAAGGACTTCAGCACTTTGAGGTGATATGAGGTGTGGGACCATGATAAAATCGAAACATGGCCACCCTAAAATCAAAGACACAATTCCTACTATTTATAACATGTTCTGCAATTGAAGAGCCCGAAGTATTGATTATTTGACTTTTCCTGGCATCCGGATTCAAATTCCTGGTGTGGGGTAAGCGTTGTTTTATTCTCAGATCCAAACGTTGAGACGTCCTCCCTATGTAGTCGAGTCCACAACTACACTTATATTTATAAATCACTGAATTAATATGATGGGGTGGGGAGGTCATCCTTACGAATGGGAGAGAAAATAGGACGGGTAACAAATATTACCCGAACATTAGCCGAAAAATAACAGCTATTAATCGCACGCGAAATTCGCCTAGCTAAAGACTCACTCTCTGAACCAATAAAGGGAAGACGCAAATAAACTGGACATTTTTTATCAAAATGCGGTTTAACCCTATGAAATTTATTGATGACATCATAGGTAACAGAATCCAAAACATCCAACGGATACCCATTTTTAGAAAGTGTAATCTTAATAAAAACAATTTCACTGCAGAGAAACAAACAAAACATAAGTGCCCTATAAATTAAGGTCTTAAATTAACTTTTCGTTGTCTGGGACAAAAAGAGTCCCACCCTGTATAAAGTCCCGAAAAAGTAGCTTTTCTAAATACAGACGTCAAAAACTCGTCAGTAATCCTATGAACAAGAACATCAAGAAAGACAAGAAAATAATAGATAAGTAGGGAAAAGTTTTAGGAACAAGTGGCAAAAAAACGGACGTTGACGGCTTTCGTTTACGTACTTATATCAACATTCACAGTCGGAATTGAAGCCTTATACTATCTTCCACACTGTCCGACAAGAGATAGTTGCCAGCCACACGTTATTATCTAGAGAAAAAAAAGCTGAGCAATTAGTCTTAGATGGAAGAAGTGGTAAATGTTGTCACTAAGTGTCACCTACCAATTTATCTACCTGCTCAATCCATGCAAGTGAATTCCTGAAATAAGCAGCGAAATATATTAAAAACGGAGTTTGAGGTTTCGGTTTTCTAGTTATGGCATTTTTCACTTTTCGTTTCCTTTGGCTTTTACAGTGGGTCTTTCTCGCTTGTTTGATACATTGATTAAACGAGAATAGAAATGCAGCGTTGGGGTTCATTGTCCCCTTAATACAATTCTGAGAGATGGCTCCGTTTTATGTTTACAATTGGTTGACGATAACCAGGATGTCGATCAGCAAAGAAATGCTAAATTCAATTCACAGAAAGCTGCCCAAAACAAAAATAGACATTCGAAGAGAAGGCAACAAGAAAACACATCAAGAGGATGCCCCCCCCCCGGACACCGGCGGCGCACCAATTAATACGAAGGGATACTATAAAGAGATCAAAAACGAGAGAATAAACGCACGCACATAACAGAAGAGCGTTCTTATTTGAGAGAGATTAGAAGGGATTAAGACAAAGTGGAACGGCTTTTTCGATAAATCAGCTAGGCCCTTATAATGAGCGTCCTCAATCTGGAATGAAGGACAGATTAGTGCGTAAGATAGGAATACTGGGAAATTGTCAAAGATATAATAAAGATGATGTAGATATTGCGTTCACAGATTATTTTGTTTTTTATTTATTTATTTATTTACTTAAGACCTTTAACGACAGCTGGATTAAAAAAAATAACCTAAACTTAGTGAATCTCTGGAGAGATGTTTGGAATAATAGACAGCGGCTCGGATTGAGGAATCAGCGAGCTGAGATCGAATTCCAGTCGAGTTCATTACATTCACTTACGTGTTAACACCCTTGAGAAAGGTATGAATTCATCCCCCCCCGCCACCAAACTGAGGCCTATAGTTTTAGTTGGTAACCCCTCTAGGAAAATAAAACATTGAATTTAAATTAGGCAAAGTGGAGAAGAAGGTTAAAAACGATTCCACCTCGCATGTTGTCTAGAAGAACGTACTCTTTACAACGTACATGACAGAAAATAAT